AGAACTGGCCTGAGACAAGAGAAAGGAAGAGAGCTGGACACAGATGTGGTTTGTCTGCAGGTCTGACGGCAGGAAGAAAAGGGAGTGCTCCTGTCTAGTAACTTCATTTTCTTTGGGTAGCAGAAGCGTGGTCCCATGCTAAGAGTGGTGAAGTAGAGGTGGAATCAGAGTTTTAAAGAAAGTAAAGAATGAGAAAGGCAGGGAAATGGAGAGTTAAGGAATAAGACTAAGGGCCAAGTAAATCTGGACGCCAAAAATTTATAGTGCAACATCAATCTATGTGGCTGCGACATTGTCCACTCCCCATCCCCCAAGAGCTCAATAGCCCAGCTATATAAGGTGGCCACTAAGACTGGAAACAGGCAAATACATAAAAAATGGTTTATTAATATACATTAAAATTCATGATTAAGAAATATTTTTCCATTTCCAGATTTTTGACCCACCCTGTAGAGAGAGAAAATACAATTTTCTCACCCAAAGAGAGAAAATACAACTGGACTAAGCCAGGTTTGGGGCAGGGGCTTGAGGATATTATCACAAGAGTGGTTCATGTGATAAATCAAGAAATCCAAATCAGATATGAAAGCAGTAGAGAGGCGAAGAAGCTGTTCAGTGGAGATATTAATAAACACTTGTGATGGGAACCACAGGGTAAAAGAGCTGAGAAGGTAAGGAACTGTAGTCCAAGAACGGTAGGTTTGACTTTAAGATTTCAGATGTTGAGAGGCTCATAGTGCAGAAGAGTCAAGGCACAGCCATGGCATAAGGTGGATGAAATGGAGTGTGTGCTAAACTGGCTCTCACGAAAAAAGTGCCCTGTTTCTTAGTGTTTGTCAATTTCCATGGTGTAAATAATCCCCCCAATAGCTGATTTCAAGATACCAGTGTGCTGTGGCTGAATGTAGAGCTGAGAGAAATGCACACATTTCATAAGCTGGTGCAAGCTGGTTTCATTACAACACTGAGTGAAGATTATCAAAAAATGTGGGGGTGAAAAAATTGAAAGACAGTTTATCAGGATGAACTCGGAGTCATCTAGGGTGACGGTGGGGCTTGGAGGTGGAGAGGAAACAGTGAGATCCATGCCAAACTTCCATCAGTAAGGAGAAGTGAGTGAAAGGGGAGCAGAGTGCAGTGACAAGGGGCAGCAGATGACAGCCAGATGTGGGATGGATCCTCTCTAACATGCACCAGAGGTTAATCCAAACGGAGTGCCTTAGGCATGTTGCATAGATTCTTTCACTTAATCTCAAAAGAACTCGATGAGGTCGGTATCATTATTAAACTCATTTTACAGACATGGAACCTGAACAAAATGAGGTAAGTAATTTGTCCAAGGTAACAAGTCAAAAGGGAGTTGAACTACAGCAGTGTGGAGTCCAAACTAATGGGCCGTCCTCTAGAAGCTGCACTGGGGAACTGGAAAAGGTCAGGAGTATGCGAGACTGGGCAGCCTCTCCTCCAAAGGGCTACAGGGGAAGAGAGTGTCTTCAGAGAAGAGCCAAGTTCCAGCTGGGCAAGGAGGTGCAGGGGATATTCTGTGAGGAGGACAGAGCAGGGCTACCATGCAAAGTGCTCCGGGGACACAGCACACAGTGGGAAGGTTTGGGGACTGGCCAGGTAGCTCAGTTGGTTAAAGTGCAGCCTTATAACCCCAAGGTCATGGGAAAATAAATAAAATTTTTTTAAAAAAGAGAAAGTTTTGGAAGGGAAGGGAACAATAAGAGTTCAATCAGGAGATAGCCCTTCTCAGGGGTCATTTGGCCATGGATATTTCTGTCATACACATAGAGGGCCTGTGGCTCTTACCAAAATCAGTTTCAAAATGCGTGTTTAACGTTGATAGTAAATGCTTTTCCAAATATGAAAAGCAACTTACTTGATGAAGATGCAGGAATCTAATTATTGAAAGTTACTATTGATAAACATTTATCAAATTGGCAAAAAGAGATGAACTTCACTGAAGAAAAGCAAGCAAACTGCTGTGAAAAGCAAGCACAACAGATTACTGCTGTTGCTGTTTGTACCACTTCTGCTGTTCGGTACTTAACAATCTCTCCCACCGACTCAGCACTCTCCTTTTTCCTTTATGTTAGTGAACTGGGCTTGTGCATATGTCTGATCTGAAATGTAGAGTTGCACTGTCCAACATGGTGGCACTGGCTACGTGTGGCTCCTGAGCACCTGAAATGTGGTTAGTGCAAATTGAGAAGTGTTGTGAGTATACAATACACACCAGATTTTAGAGACTTTTTGAAAAAGGAATGTTAAATACCTCATTAATATATTTATATTGATTAGATGTTGAAATGATACTTTGCATATACTGAGCTAAATAAAATGTTAAACTTGACCTGCTTCTTTTTATCTTTTAAAATATGGTTACTAGAAAATTTTAAATTACATATGTGGCTTGTATTACATTTCTATTAGACAATTTGCTCTAGGGCCAGGGCCTTTTTGGAGTTTTGCACATAGTTGGGCTGAAGAAGTATTTCGATTGGTTTGTTGACTAATTCCCTCTGGGAAGAGGACAAATTAAAAAGATGCTCCTTTCCAATTCTAGATTGTTCTATCATTGGCATTTAAGTTTTACGTACTCTATGTTCTCTGGTTACAAATGTGAAAAAAAACCTGTTTGCTATCAAACAGGAAGCTAGAACCATGCCACCTGATTAAATGTGTTTAGGCCTCCTTTGAAGTACCTTGGAGATTTGGGCCCCGATACTCCTACTCTCATGCGAGTGCTTCTTTTCATTATATTACTCTCTCAATTTGTTTCCAGACAAGCTTTTTCTACCATACCCCACTCTGTTTCCTTTAAAAAATGTAAACTGTTCTCCTTTTGTGTATGTGTGTACTATTGTCCCTGTGATTAGAGTCTGGTTTCAAATTCTGCTCCTTCATTTACTATCTGGCTGACCATGGCCAAGTTATCTAATCTCCCCTGGCCTCAATTTCTTCCTTTTTAAAATGGGGATGATAACAGTACTTATCTCCTAGTGTTGGGGCAAGGACTAAATGAATTAATGCCTAGAAGGTGCTTCAACCAGGGCCTGGCAAAGGACAAGGACTGGGCATGGGGCAGCTATTTGTGCTATCTTCTCGTTCCTTATTCCTTCAGCTTTCATCTGCTCAGTGCTTACCATCTTTGCCCATGCAGCTTCACTAGGGAACTAGAGTAAAACAACAGCTCTCTTGCTTCCTCTACTGTAGACAGACATTAAGCTTAGTGTGGTCTTGTGAAGTGGCTGGGCCATTTGAACACTGTGCTAAACATCCCGGGGGAGATGGACCCTCAGAACCTAATTTGGAAGCAAGGTCTCAGGTGAGGAGCAGCAGCTCCTGCCTCTTTTAGGTCTCAGCTAACAGTGAGGATGTGTCTGTGGATGCTTCTGGGGAGCAGCTAGGGAAGATGTCCTCTCTAAGAGAAGACAGCTGGAATGGACAGGAGCCAGTCCTCAGGAGAAGCCTGAATGGACAAGAATAAACTGTGTTTTGTTAACCGAAAAAAACAGTTTTATCTATTGCGCACTGTGCTCTCTTGGTTTTTCATTATCATCCAGTTTTTTAAAAAAAGGTGCTGGGTGGGGGAGAAGAAAGACTGCTATGGATAACTATGAGATGTGTTTAAGAATAAAGGTGTTTAAACTGTGGACTGGAAGTTCTGTGTGTCTGGAGAGGATGGTGTTTACAGGGTGATCAGGCCTGGACCCTGATAGTCGTACCGTAGGTTTTTTTCTTTTGGACCTGTGTAGGAAATTCTCCCACCAGGAAATTCTCTCTACTGCCACAGGGAAAAGGTGGAGGTTAACTATGATCAAAGAAACACACAGAAAGCTGGTAAATGGTTAGCCCAGCACTCACCATTTCCCAGGAAAAAACAATTGGCTTAAACTTCAAACACCTACTCTGGGTCAAACATTGTGCTAAATACTTATCATCTCATACAAATCCTCATAATAATCCTGTGAGTCAGGATTTAGAAATTTCATTCTACAGATGAAGAAATTGAGGCTTGGAGTAACCAAGCAACTTGTAAAAGCCAGGTCACCCAGCTTTGCCACAGTTGCAGAGTTGAGAGTTGAACCAGGGTGGTCTGACTGCCAATCTCTTAACCAGTAGGCTACCTGCAAAATTAGCAATGGCAGCTGATAGTGCAGGCTCAGGAAAGACATCACTTAGGACTTTGACAATGGCGAGATTCCCGTCTGTCTGGGCTAGTTGAGATGTGGCCAACTTTGGAGGCTCCCATGGCCTAGATAAGTGGCCTAGATGACCTGGGATTGTCCCTGCAGCTCCCCATCTTGGGGTCAGCCTGCACTCATGGGGCAGGAGCCATAAACCTGCACCAAGTTCACTTTTCCTAAGGTGAGAAAAAATTTACAGCTGACAAAGCACCACCACATTTTGCAGCCTAATTTTGGAGAGAGATCTTTGTATTAGGACTCTCTGTAGGTCAGTGCATTAGTCTCCCAGGTCTCACTTGTTTATAATTTAGATTTTTTTTAAAAAAGGAGTAACACTTATTCTCCTCCTTTGACACCTTTTGCGTCTGTTTCGTTTTGTTTGTTTAAATCTTGCTAACAGAGTTTAGAAGGCGGAAGCCTGGTCCACAATCTTATTTGCCCTACACTGCGCAGCAAATTCAAGCGCTCACAGCTCTCCAAGTGCACCTGCCCGGGTTCCCTCCTCTTGGCGCAGTGCTGGGGCGGGTGGGCAGTTTCTTTTCCAAATTTCCCTTTAATACCTGGTCCTTAGCGGGCGCTCAGCCAACACTTGCTGAATGAAGATAAATGAAGAGGAGACAGAGAGAGAGAGAGAGAGAGAGAGAGAGAGAGAGAGAGAGAGAGAGAGAGAGAGAGAGAGACGCGCGGGGGAGGTTCCCGGGGACCGAGTGTGAAGTTGTTTCAACGCAAAAGAGAGGAGAGTGGCTGGCGGGGCTGGCAGGGGTGTCAGGACAGGAGAGGGGACAGGACCAGGAGGCTGGCGCTTACCCCAGGAAGGTGAGGAACCGCGGGTTTGTAGCCAGGTTGGCGTCGATGGTGAAGGACAGGAACGCGGGACTCACCAGGTGCAGCGGCCGCTCGGTGGAGAAGTCCAGCTCCACGGCGTCCTCGGCCGGCGCAGGTCCCGCCAGGGCGCCGGGGGAGAAGGGATCGATCGGCCCCAGGAGCAGCAGCAGCAGCAGCGGCGGCGGCGGCGGCGGCGGCAGCGGCAGCCCCCGCGTGGAGCGCAGCAGCATCTCGGGCTCTCCTGGCGCGCCCCCCGCGAGCGCCGCGCGGCGAGTCCAGAGCCCGGCACTTCCTCCCGCCCGGCCGCGGCGCCCTTCCCGGCGCTGCTCCTCACCCCTCCCACTGCGCCCGTCCTCCCACTCCTCCCCTGCATCCCTCCCACTGCTCCCGCGCGTCTCCCCGCCCCGCCTCCCCCGTCACTCCCACTTCCTTGCACGCTGGCCCCTTGGTGGCGGTCACTTCCACTTACGAAATCACCCACACCCATTTGAAGGGTGCGGAGATGGCGGGGATCCAGCCACCAGGAGGCCTGCGGAGGGCGCGCCGGGGAGGAGCGCTGGGCATCCTGGACTGGGCTTCGCGCGCACAATGGCCCGCGCGCACTTGGGGGGGCACACCAGCGTTTCCCACTTCCAGGCCCCGTCCAGGTGGCGCCAGGGCTCTTCCTTCTGACCCTGCACTAGTGCCTCCAACTGAGCATTCATCCCTTCCCCTCCCATCTAGCTCATAAACTCTTGCTTGTCACTTGAACCTGCCAAAATCTGATTAACCCTGTGTCCTCTGGGTAGGAAGATGTTTCTCAGGTTTTTCTCCCTTTTACTTGAAAAATCCGACCAAGCATCAGCTAAACTACAACTAGTAGATCAGCCGCCAAAAATTCCTAATCAACTTCTCATAAAAACAGTACTTAGCAGAGCCTTAAAGCGTTAGGTGCTCCAACATCTGAAACTCAGGACACGAAGCCCCCATACAAAGTGTGGGACCTTTGCCAAATTTCCCCTCTGTGCCTTTGTCTTTAGCTATTGGCCAGACTGTTCTTCATATTTCCTTTGATGCTTACATTGATATATAATTATAGCAAGCACTATGCACTTAGTGCCAACTGTATGCCTGACACCGTGAGAGGTGCTTTACCTGTGTTCTCATTCTCACAACAATCCTGCCAAGTGCATCCTTTCCTGTTTTACATGTGAGGATCTGTATTCTGAGACAGTAACTTGCCCAAGTGTCAGAATTGAGATGTGAACACAATCACACGACCCTGAACAGATGGTGGCCTGTCTCAACTGAAAGATAACTTCCTCAAGGAAACTTTCCATGAAACTCCAGGCAACTGAAGTCCCCATGACATCTGTCAAAGCAGCCGGAACTTGTTAGAACTTACCACATTTGTTAGTATTGTGATGATGCTCAACAATGGCCATATCTGCTAGACTGCAAACTTGACGAGAGCAGAGATGGGCTTTGCCAGGTACCCTCTGCTAGCCACAGCTCATGCACAGCACCATGCTTGGCACTTCATAGACATCCAATAAATATTTGTTGAGTAAACAAATGATACAAAAACCCTTAGTTTTTCCTCTTAGATTGCACCACCAGTAAAGCAACAAATAAAAATTGATTGTTTTGAACTGTATATCTAATTTGCATAGATCTGTCTATTCTCAAGCAACTTCTAATCATATGGCAGCAGACATGGAGGTAGAAAAACAGAAGACTAGCTCTTTTTCTACCTTTGTCATGGCATTGATCCTACATCCCACCCCATGCCCTTGCCTCCTGTTGTCGTGGGACAAAAGTCACACCAATTTCTTTGGAATATTTGGGCGTTTGAAAAGTGCACCACTGCAAGTTTTCTATGTGGTGAATCCTCGTGACACCCTGAGATGTGGTCTACATGTGAGTATGGAAACTGAAAACATAAACGAGGAAGTAATGAGAAGCAACTTGCACACTTGGTGTTCTGTTGGCAGACATCAGATGAGTTTCTGGCTCTTGACTCCAACTTGGTTTGATCCACTATACCAGATAAGAGGACTTTAGAGGCACATAGGAGGGAGGAATATATGTGAATATTGACAGAAGTCGTCATTTCAGAGATGCTTTTTAACAAGACACCTTTCATTCTATGGCAAGTTACAGCTTACATACCTCCTAGCTAGAGCCCTTTTACATGCACCCTAGTCCTGCAGCTTGCAGGATGTGGGATCTTGGGCCAGTTTTTCAACCTGTGAGAGCTTCAATTTCTTCATCTGTAAAGTGGGGGTAATAATACATATTTCATAGTCTTTTTTTGAGAGGTAATTGACTTAATATATAACACACCTAGCTCCATATGCAATGTGAAGTACGTGTTCAACACAAGAGAGGTTTTCAAAAAATTATTCCATTTAATCTTTACAATAAGCTTATAAAATAGGTTCAGGCACAGCTTTCTGATCTCAAGTCCAGAGTTTTTCCACTCTATGACCCAGATTTGGTGACTCACAAATTACGTGATGATAATAATTTAGAAATAAAAAAAACTTCAGAAAACTTAGGGCAGTTCATGAGAATCATTTAATAATTATAATATATTATTTCCATGTAGCCTTTGGATTTATTTTCAGTAGTGGCATTTGGTTTTTAGGTATTCACACAAGTTTTACCTGGTCAACAACTACAGATACTAGTACAACAACAGGCCGGTTTCAGGGTGTTTTCAGAAAATAATCTTTTCACTTATCTGTCTAGAAAATTAAGATTTTCCTAATGTAAGAAACTCTTAAAGGAGGCAAACTTTTAGGCATGGTTATCTCCAGGCATATAAACAATTACATACTGTGTTGGTTTAAGTTATTGGATTATGACTTATTAAAGTTAACAACACTTAACTTTATATTAACAGTTACATACTGTGTACAGTTACATACTATTTAAACAGTTGTGTACTGTGTTGTTTTGAGTTATTGGCTTTTGACTTACTAAAGTTAAGTTTGGTTTTAACTATTTAGTTATCAAACTATACTCTAAAATAATGAGAAACTAAAAATCTTTGCTACATACTGTGTACAGTTACATACTATTTAAACAGTTGTGTACTGTGTTGTTTTGAGTTATTGGCTTTTGACTTACTAAAGTTAAGTTTAGTTTTAACTATTTAGTTATCAAACTATACTCTAAAATAATGAGAAACTAAAAATCTTTGCTAGATGCTGAAAGGAAGTGAGTTAATATCCACTGAGTGCATGCTGTTCTTCTGGGGCTTTCACATATTGGTTTATTCATCTATTCATGCAAATATTTATTGGGAGCCTACTATGTACCAAGCACTGAGCTAGGCAACAATAAGCAGCAAGCAGGAATGGTTCCTGTATTCTGAAGTCTTACTGGGGAAGTAGAAGGTACTTTTAGGAAATCACACAAAAGTAAAATTGCAGGTGTGGTAGGTGCTCCAAAGATGGTCATGGTGCTTTATACATGTATGATGGAGGATTTGAATTTAGGGTGGGTAGGAGAAGGGTCCCTGAGGAGATGACATTTGAGTTGAGATCTGAAAGGTGAATAGACAAGTAGTCAAAGGTGTATGTGTCGGGGGCAATCAATTGAAGGTTAAAGGGATGGCATGTGCAAAAGGTCCTGGGGTGTAGGGGAGCATGGCAAGTAAGAGGACTGAGAGGAGAATAAGGGATCTGAATCAGAGAGAGCAAGGGGGCTACTGGGGACATAGGGACAAATATTGCAGAGTCTTGAAGTATCCTGGGAGCAATAGGAAGCCATTGAAAGGACTTCAAGCCTGGGTGAGGGATATGATATGGTCAGATTCATGATTTAAAAAGGCAAACAGTAAATGTTCTATTTCCTCTGTTGTGTAGATGCCTGTTTATAGAACATGGATGTGCATTTCTCTACAGATATAGACAGAGTTTCTAATTTTCCTTTATTAAACTTATATGTATATATAGACATTATAAATATGTATTTCTCTCTGTATCTATAGGAAAATGGGTGCTGGGAACCAGCAAGTGAGCCAGAGGGTGTCAGAGAAAGCAGAAAATGTCCCTAGACTAAGAACACTTAAGCTCTAGTGGCCACACACAATAATCAGGTAGATTATTAAACTGCAGGCTGGGGGATTATTCAAAAGTCCCCAGGGAAGAGCCGACTGCCCAATTCTGGTTACCTATCTCTAGGATGATGAAGTCCCCGCTAGACCCTACTAATTATACTCATGCCAAAAAAGCACAATAAAGTAAATTGAGTGGGACATTATTTATTGTTACGCCCAAGCTCTGCAAACAGTGTAAACAGTATAAACACAGGGCAGAGAAACGAGAATTCCAGCAAATGCATTGGAAACAAGGAATTGGTAGGGGTGGAGAGATTGAGAGGAGGTGTCCTATCCTAACATCATATGTAGGCTAGACTCTCTACTATGCTCTTGACTTTTGGCCAGGTATCAGTTAGTTTTGGGTTCTCTCAAGAAATAAGTGCTTTGAAGTGGAACAAAAGTATTTCCTGCTTTGTTGACTCCAGATAAGGAGTTAATAAGGAAGGTGGCCTGTGTAGGAAACAGTCCTTCTTGTAGAACTGAGTTAGCGCTGGTGACTGAGGCCTTCTAAAGGCTACTGTTTGCATCCAGATTCCAGCCAAAGTGCATGTTGGAGTGGTCAATGAGCTGGGTAGGCAATTGCTTCCACAACTGATATTGAATAGTTGGTTCAGGCATTGCTGTGGTTTGAATGAGTTCCCCAAAAAACATTTGTTGAAATTTAATTGCCATTGCAATAGTATTAAGAGGCAAGACCTTTTAAGAGGTGATTATACCATGAGGGCTCTGCCCTCATGAATGGATTAATGCTGTTATCTCGGGAGTGGGCTCTTTATAAAAGGACGAGTTTGGCTCTCTTTTTTTCTCTCTCTCTCCCTCTCTTTCCACCTTCTGACATAGGATGATGCAGCAAAAAAGCCCTCACCATTATGATATTCTACCTATTTTTGTATTTATTTGAAATTGTCTGTAATAAAACATTTTTTAAAAATTGTATGACCATTTAAAAAGAATGCTAGAAATATACAGTCAGATTTATCTAAAAGGCGAAATACACTAGGGATTTTATAAAAGCATAGCACTCTAGAGACAGAGCCCCTCTTACAGTATAAAAAAACTTTTGCAGGGCCAGCCCAGTGGCGCACTGCTGCAGTGGGCCGCTTGGGAGAGCGGTGGCGCTCCCGCTGAGGGTTCGGATCC